TTATCAGTGTTAAAACAGTTGTGCTGCTTAATAATTGAGGAAGCCAAGACATATTTTTTCAGGACTCTTTGATGAACAAAAAAGTTCAGAAGAACAGTGTTTTCGAGTAGAAATCCTTTGTAACATAAATCTTTTTACTGTCACTTTTTAGATCAATTTAACAATCCTTGCTTAATAAAAGTAATAATGTATACAGTTTAGCATTCATTACAAAACAATATTTGAATACAGTGTTGCGATTGACCAACCGTATATAAAATATATATACTGTATATAAACCGTATATTAAAAGTCTTTGAAGTCTAGATTCTTTCAATTCTTTCTAATGTTTTTAACAACGGAGCACAACATGTCACAAAAGATGTCATAGGTATTGTTTTTCACTGATTATCTTCCTAAAGCTGGCCTCTGAAAGACTAAACGTTGCTATAGTAACATTTGTGTCAGTGCATCAGGTCTGGCGTTTATTCAGGAGAGGTGGCCAATCATTATTGTATCATGTCCTGTTTGTCCAGAGGTCTACATCCTCAAATAAAAGTAATAATGTATACAGTTTAGCATTCATTACAAAACAATATTTGAATACAGTGTTGCGATTGACCAACTGTATAAACCGTATATAAAAAAAGTCTTTGAAGTCTAGATTCTTTCAATTCTTTCTAATGTTTTTAACAACGGAGCACAACATGTCACAAAAGATGTCATAGGTATTGTTTTTCACTGATTATCTTCCTAAAGCTGGCCTCTGAAAGACTAAACGTTGCTATAGTAACATTTGTGTCAGTGCATCAGGTCTGGCGTTTATTCAGGAGAGGTGGCCAATCATTATTGTATCATGTCCTGTTTGTCCAGAGGTCTACATCCTCAGTCACAAACACATTTCAAGAACTTCCTCAATTCCTTGTTTCAGAAAGTGACTGGAATTCTACAAATTCTCCAGTACATGGTTGTAAAAAATCTGCTTTGTTGAAACTGACGGTTGTGGGTCAAACCCCTGCCAGATTTAAACTGGTTCTCTCTTTGTTTCCAGATGTGCACTCCAGCCAACACACCAGCGACACCCCCCAACTTCCCAGATGCCCTAGCCATGTTCTCTCGTCTTAAAGCCTCCGAGAGCTTCGGCAACAGCAGTCCCATCGCTTCTATGGCCACGTCACCAGCTCCTCACACCAACTGGGCCATGAGCCCTCCGGCAACCCCTGGTCACCAGGGTCGATGGACTCCAGGTCCGCTCATGCCCCAAGCACCCTCACCAGGCTGGCCGGCGGCTGTGACTCAGCAAACCTCCGCTGAGCATTCTAGTATCGTCATGGAGGCCGAGAGATAGAGACTGCTTTAATTAGCCATCACACCTTACAGGAAGAGGAGGATGGATCTTCCTCTTGAAGACTTCGGCAGTTGTGGAGGTAAAACAGTGCGGCGAGAGCGCTGGGTTGCAGTGAACGGTGGTGGAACAGAGTGTGGCCTCTTCTCTGAGGTCACAGGAGATCTGGGACTCTTTTAAATTGCTTTTCTTTTGGCGATAACCAAAAAAAGATGGACAGAATGAGTAATTATGTAGCATATTCACAGAAAACCTCAGACAAATGAATGTGTTACTGAATATTGTCAGTTCTCAACTAATAGTGAATACTCTATTTTGGACTGTGTACTAAACACCTGCAGTGGATCTAATAGTTACTCACCGTCGTGTCATTTTTGAACCTTTTAACTTTTATTTTATGGACAAAATACATCTTCAAAATATCTTCTTTAATGTTCCACAGGTTTGGAACGACATGAGGGTGAGTAAATGATGACGGAATTATTTTTTTTCTTTAATCAACAGGTTTACTGCAGAAAACGCATGATCTTTTGGACTGGTCTTTTTTTTTACTTCTTTATGACTTTAATTAACTATATTGGCATTTTATATTAAAATAATGGTATAAGAACTGTTTTATACCCAGAACATTGGACTCTGGTTCTGCTCAGCACTTTGAGGACATTTGTTTTTATCTCAAATCCCTATTTAAATATATTAAGCAAGAATATATTCCTCCGATTTCTTTTCACCTAACATCTCCCTGTAACTGTTCACACTGCCTCCACAATATTTGTGGACTATGTGATGGTTATTATTTCCTATTTGTTGTGTTTTCAAATAAATATTGTATATATATTGCACAACGCTTGGTGGAGTAGTTCCTGTTTGTGTAGTAAAATATTTACATGATTTTGTTTTGCTGGTCTGTTTTCCTTGCAATGTAATTGGGGTCAACCTGTTATACCATGGTAAATTATTACATGGACCCACTGATCAAGTTCCATACATTGAACATAATTACATTGATGTTGAGCTCTCATTTTTATATATTTGAGTTTAAAATATACATATATTTATTACAATATACATGTATAATTTCATAATACTATGAGTACTATGAGTTTTTGTCTATGATAAATTATGGTGTATGATATATTTAAAGTTGGTTAGTATACAACAATATAGTTAATATCAATTATATATACACATACTTGCATACACTCATACATGCGCATATATGCAGCGAAGATGTCCGTTTCATTGAAAGGCACTGTATTTGCCTGGCTCACATGGACACAACTGAGATGATGGGTGAAGCATCTTAAGTGAGACCAGCTGCTTCATCTCAGCAGGGTGAAGACCGTCTGCTATTTCTGTCACTTGGCTGTTTGTGTGTGTATATACACACACAGAGGCATGAGTGGAGGACTGCTGCAGGCTGGTCGAGCATTATACAGAGGCAGAGCAAGGGTATTGATATGCCAAACCACGAACCTCAGCACCGCACTTTCATTACTATATCTCTGTTTCACTCTCAGTCTGTTCCTGAGTTCATTCAGTTATTGGCATAAAAAAACAATAAAAGATTACTAGTGTCTCTTCCTCTGCGGTCACTTTTATTGAGAGGAAAAAATATTGAAATTAATGTACTATGTTTTAGTTCAATATGTTTTTATTTCATATTAATATGGTACTAAATAATATTTATGCAGTAGTTATAATCAATTTATTACCACTTTTTAAACGCACCTAAAAAAATACATTTCCAACTTCAGCTGTTATAAACCTTGAATGTTTTGGAGCTTAAGTCTGGTCTTTTTTTTTTTAAAAGAAGACACTTGACTAAGTTTAACTAACTAAGAAGTTCAAGTTAATTTTTCTGACAAAGAAAGAAAAAAGGATATTTGAGGCAATGGTTTTTGAACAAATTCTGTATTAATAAAATAACACAAAAGCACAAAAACAAACATGAAAAAGCAATGCCACCATACACATTATTCAAAGACATTCAGACCTGATAAAGTAGTCAGAGTACGAAAAATGTCGATTACACTTTACAGTAAGTCCCGTACTTTTTAACATTGTCATGTTATGGCTTTGGCGTCCACTTGTTTGTAGTGTTCAAACCCATATTGTGAAGTGTCACCAACACTGTGAAGTTTCAATCAACAACTTCAGTTTTATATGTACCATACAAAGTATCATAGCTATGAGCAATTATTGGGTGAAAAATAAGCATGTGATCATTGTTTTTCCACTGACCTCACCATGCCATTAGCTGAAGAGGAAAAGAGAAAAGGAAATGAACACAACTTTCAGTATTGAAAAGGAACTTTTTATACCCTTGCATACCAATATACGTATATGAAGATCACAATGAAGGATGTATAACACCCTTGATTAGTACCTACTATTATTTGAGGTAACAAATATTTCTTTTATTTCATCAGCATTATGGCGATTCTGCCGTCTTTGTGATGAAAGTTGTTGGCTACTGACATCAATATTCATTTTATTCAGTTCAGCAATCTTGTTTTATCTTCTTCACTCTCGACAATTGGATTCTTGTTAATGTTAATGCATTAGCCTGCAGTTACTAGGTTAATTTGGCTAGCACCTTTTAGCTAGTTAAGGTTACAGTTAGGGTTAGATGAAACAAACAGCATATTTGAAGCGTTCATAGCATGCTCTTGATCGCTTATGCACCACAAAAAAAATACAAAAATCAATCCTTATATTTTACAAAAATGCATAGAAAGAAAGCATGCTGTACATTTAATAGTAAAAAGCCTATTGATCAAAAATGTCCCAACCTCAGTATAAAAATAATGTGAGGGTGTAAAACAAATAAATTCACTTTAGGTATAAACTATGGGGGATATATAAAGCAGTTAATGGGTGAACATGTAAATGAAGCTTTACATAAAGAAAAAAAGACCATTAATCATTAATGTTGTTGTTGTTTTTACATGTGTAGCATGTAATATGACATTCATTTCTGTAAAAAATATTATAGTACATACTCAGTACCTAATTAACATAGTCACCAATGAAAATACAACAAATGTATTATTGATGATCTTAAATGAATAGCTTTTCAAAATTGAAACTATTTTAAAAGGAAAAATAATGTAGTGTTGTACAGTAATGGGATTTCCACAAAAAGGTGGTTATATTTAATGACAATTATGAGACATGATTTTGTCCCATCAGGACCAGAATAATTAGTAAACACACATAAAAATAAATCAAATTTGAAGTTGAATATGGTGATTTAAAAAAAAAGTGCTGTAACAGTTCCCAGTACTGCAACACCCCAAGCCATGCAAAATCACGTCAATTCATTAAAGGCATAGTTCACCTGATAATAAAAATCCACTTTGCAAGTGAAAACAGTCCAAAATGGTTCTAAACAAAATATGTTGGTGTATTTTGATGTGAGAGGACAACAGCGGACATGCAGACTTTTTCACTGGAGGAAGTGTTGTTAGATTATGGACTCATTATTTGGCCAGAAGAGATGGTTTAGAATTCAAAGCCTTAAAGATGCAAAAAGACATTAATAGATGGACTAGTGGATTATTGTGATGCTTTTATCAGCTGTTTGGACTCTCATTCTGACGGCACCCATTCACTGCAGAGGATCCATTGGTGAACAAGTAATGTAATGCTACATTTCTCCAAATCTGTTCTGATGAAGAAACAAACTCATCTACATCTTGGATGGCCCTAGGGTGAACTATTCCTTTAAAAAATAACCCACAATAATCAAGTTTTTATGATCTCCCTGAGGAGAATGTCCCACTTTGAGGTCATCTCTTGTCCATCAAATGACAGAATTCTTGGAAAACCCAAACTTGAAAATCAAATAAGAGGTGATTAACGCCACTGCCACCGCCACGCCGGTTAAAACAATAGCCCAGAATGTGGTTCTGTCTGTGGGAGAAAAGACAATAATAATTTTACAAACAGAAGAATCAATCAACAGCTTCAGCAACAGAAGCGTGACTCTGTTGGTTGTACAACACACACACTGCCAGCAGCAGTGCAGCAGTCCTGGCGCGGCCTGGCGGGAACACAACACCAGTGTACAGGAGACTACAAGAGACTATTGTGGCACTATTCCTCATTTCGCATAAAAGTGCCTGATGAATCATTAAATGCAAATGCGAAGCTTTTTCAAGACCACAAAAACACCCCGTAGATAAAGAATGAACTTTGGGATAAGTCAATACTGTGAGTTTAAGATAATCGACTTGTGTAAATATGCTAAATGTCACAAACACATGCATGTTTCCTTCCTCATTATCAGGATTTTCACTTCAAATGGAATAGATGCCACCCTGTATCGGAAGTCATTGTTATGGAGTGCTGCAGGGATGACAATTTTTTAGGCCAAAATGCAAAACTAGGTTAGCACTTCTGGTTCAATTGTCCAGAATTCAATGGGTTTTGGGATAAATGCCTGAAATAAGATCTGTGTTTAACACAAGCTCAAAATATATTCATGTTTAAATTCAAGATATTCAGGTTTTATATTCATGTTATTCTACAACATAGAACATTAATGTAATAACCCCTTGTAATTTTTAAAGCTCCTATTTGTATTTTAAAAAGTGGTTGCTTCTAACAAGTGGCTAAATGGCACTCGAGGTTGGCAGGGACATTAAACATTATTAGGAATAATAATAATAATAACTAGTCCACGTTTACAGCCTCATTATGTTTTATAATCGCACTCTTGCACACTATTCTAACTCAAACTTTAGAAAGGGAAAATGTTTTATAAAAAGTCTAAAAGTCGTCAGAAGCATAGTGATGGTGACGTTGAAGTTACAGCCTATGTGTAGCTTTTTTCTTCTGCCGACTGTGTTTAGGCTTTATAAAGTTATTTTCATTTGTGAAGGTTATCATTATGAACAAGATGTGTAAGAATCATAAAACTGTGTTGGTCACAGAGCTTATTTTCCGCAATAATCCAAACTCCATAGGAAAAATCCTATTGTGTTTTTCTCAAGGGAACCAATATACACCATCACTGCAGAACTATATTGCACAGTAAGGGCTAGTTCATGTGGGCAGTGGAACGGGAAAAAACACAAGGTCTTGAGATGCTGTTTTTTAAAGTTGAACTTCTCTTAACTTAAGCGCCGCGTTTCTGAGAACACCATGTCATGCGAGATGCTTCAAAAGCTGTATCACATTTACAAAAACATGGAAATGTAGCGAAGTGGAATGGAAAAACATTGTGTGAACAGCCTATAAGGATGTAAAAAACACTAAATCAAATTTCAAACTGAGATTGAGAGAAACGCTGAGGCAAAGTGTCAGATTAATGTTTATTTGATCAAAACTGACCTGTAGATTTGACGATGAACACTTTGCTGTCTCTTCCCAGAGCGTTTGTGGCGGTGCATGTGTAGTTTCCTGGACTGAGTGCTGAGGACTTGAGCTCTGAGGAGCTGTTCTTCTCTTTCAGATGATCCCATGTGTACGTAGGGGCCGGGTTTGCCTTCACTGTACAATCTAGCATGACCTTATCGTCTTTAATGATGGTCTCTGTTGAACTGGAGTGTTGTGGTTTATCTGAGGAGGACAGAGATACATTTCTCAGCACAACAGCATCATGATGAGCAGCCGTTAGTAACAGATCACTAAAAATACTGCACAACTGAAACCTTTTTATCTGAGTTCATTCAATTCATAATGCCATTTTTAAGTTAATATGCAAATCTCTGAGCGTGATGAAATACGACAGTTGCACATCCGTCACACTAGAAGGCCCTACAGAAAATATAAACTGAATTATATGTCTAGCTTAGCAATAATAAACTTACAGTATACTTCAACATTAAGAGGTTTTGATGAAATTGTTGGATGAGGTTGAGGTCCTTCTGCTCCCAGATCCAGCTCTGCTTCACACCTGTATTGAGCTCCATCATCAGCTCTGTCTGGACGGATCAGGAGTGTGACAGTTTCATTCACTGGAGTCTCGCTAGTGCCAGTGAAGGTGGTTTGATGCAGCAGAGTCTGTCTTTTGTACCAGTTGACCGTGAGATTCTGAACAGGAGCCACATTGTGAACGTCACACTGGAGATGATACGGCTCTCTCTCCTTCATTGGTCCGCTGTGATTCACACTGATGAACACACTGTCTGGAGTCTCTGTGGAGGAAGATTTACACACTCTGAAATCTGCTGTGATGAATGATGAATGTACATTTATTAGATATTTCTGAGAATGAACAGTAAAAATATCAGTAACAGAGAAACTCACTGTAAACAGTGACTGGCAGCTCTACTAGACACTGATTCTTATCGCCTATTTTATAGTTTATGAAGCAGAATGGCTTTATGTCCCATTCTGTCAGTTCTGACACTCTCCATGTGATCAGATTGTCTTTGGTCATGGGCACTGCTCCCTCACTGGCTTCCCATCCCATCCCTTCATGCAGGACTGAAGTGTTACAGTTAGCTGCAACAGAATCGCCGTATCTCACAACAACTCTCTGTGGGTTGAGCTGAAGAGGACATTCAGCTTGTGCACCTGTTAAACACATTTAAGAACACAAAGTAATTGCATATAGGTATTGTTTACCTGACAGACTGAACACAGATATCCAATTAACACACATTAAAACTTGCAATAAAAATGACCGTCTGGATTCTTGGTTGAGGGTTTGTTATTTTATTGAGTTTATTGACCCAACTGCATCAAACAAGAAATACAAACTGCAAAAAAAAATAAAAAAATAAAAATGTGTTTGGCAATTGTAGAAGACCATCGGTCAATGACAGTGCAAGATTCTTTTAAAACAAAGAGGCTCATCAATTCTTACCATCTGGGAAATGAAACTAAGAAATTCACTGACACAGCAGGGTCATTCTAAAGCAAGTGTGTAACAGTGTGGGCATTACCTTTTACCATGTGCTATTATCTTTTCAAAAGATGTCAAAGAAAAATCCAGTACATTCATTTAAAATGTTAATTTTATTTCAGTATTGTCTCCATAAATATGCATTTTGTCCTGTCCTGGCCCCGCCTTCTCAACCTTTCCTTTCTGTTTAAGCAAGCAAGAACATTTCACAGGAAATAAACATTTTTTTCATAATTTAGAAGACAAATTATTTTATTAAATAATCGTTTCCACAGGTTGTGTCAACCCTGTTTTCATCATAACTCACCCTTATTAATATAATTACAATTAAATTTTTTAAGATAAATGTTATGACATAATCATTATCGTTTCAGTTGATCTTAACTCGGACAGGTGTTTGCTTTTTTGTCGTTTATTAACGTTTGTCAGTAGGACTATCTAAACACCATGAATACAAAAAAAAATTATATTTGTAGTAATATCAGCAATAAATAATTAATATAATTAATATACACCAGTCAAAAACTGTAACATTGTGGAGAAGCTGCAGAGGCAAGGATCTATATGCAGGTATTTAATGGAAGAACAAGAACAAACAATAAGCCAAAAACCAAAGGGAACAAAGAACAGAAGTACTTCAGTATTTTACTTATACTAAACATAGGCTCAAAGATGCACTAGTCAAAGAGACACACCAGTCAAAAACTGTAACATTGTGGAGAAGCTGCAGAGGCAAGGATCTATATGCAGGTATTTAATGGAAGAACAAGAACAAACAATAAGCCAAAAACCAAAGGGAACAAAGAACAGAATGACTGTCAAACAGACAACCACTACATTCAACAACTCACAAGGAACTAAAGAAAAACTAGGGCTATATATACACACAGGGGAATAACAAGCTTAACAAGATAAGACACACCTGGGGAGACTAATCAAGGGGAACCAATGAACAAACGGACTACAAACTGACTACAAACACCACGGGAGACAGGAAGTGACATAAAAGTCCAGGCCAAGGCACAGAGAGCATGAAACAAAAACAAGAAAGAGTTGATTTGTGAGGAGAGCAATCACATTTATTTTCTAAAACCAAAATAAAACTGAACACCTCAAAATTGCAAAAAAATAAGGTCTCTTCAATATAATGGATAAACAAAATAATGTTAAGTAAAATTAAAAAGCTGAAGCCTTCTTGCACTGGATGTGCTGGTTTCGGCCTCATTGCCGGCTGCAGTCATGTCCCCATCTCTTATATAAAACACCTGTGATTCACAAATACTTGCTAAAGAACTCGTATTCACATAAAGCAGCCTTGTTGACAAGTTTGGGTGAGTAAGGGCAAAACACACAAGATGCAGTATTTGTGGCGGCATATAAATGCAAGTTCATTCTCTGCCAGCAGGAGGCGCTTGGAGAGCAGGAGAGATAGAGGTTTCCCCGGTAACGGCTGTAATCAAATAAGTGCTGCACTCACAAAGGCTGCTCAGGCATTACAGGCCAGATGAAATGAAAATGACATCCATCATTTTCTGAAGACAGTCAGTTTCCTTCAAAAATACAGTGATATAAAGATATCCGCACCGGGTTTCGACTTTGACACATGCAGTGCTCATGTTTATTCAACGAAGTCCAAGCCTTTTGGAAAATCTATTTGTGGTGGTCAATTTTGATATTGTGGAGGGCTGCCACAAATAAATCAATGGATAGGAAACACTGAAGATCTAAATATAAAAAATTAAAACGAAACGTATCTGCTTGAACTCTTTCATTTGATGTGGGTGTCTTTAAAGTGTTTTGTTAGTTTGGTGTGTTTCCTCCTTTTGATGTCGCCACGTCTCAGTGCTTTTATGAAGAGAGTGCATCTGCGCACCTTTCGAGTAGCACATCAAGAACCGGGTTGACCGGGTACTCGGTACCAATGGTACTTAAAAAAACCTGGTTCCGTAACGTTTTCAATTTTTTAGTACCGACTTGGTACCGAAGTGCCGGGTCTTTTGGCAATACTAAGTGATAGAAATTAATCTACCAATAAGCTTATATATATATATATATATATATATATATATATATATATATATATTTAGAAGCATTTTTACATTTATAAAGCCATTTTTCTTAAAGTGTGCATCATCTTTTTGAGTCAAAT